AGTTTGAAAATGCGTCCAATCCGTCAAAGAATTAGTGGCTTTCACTCTGATGTTGATTGGGATCTCAGAGAGACCGAAATGGATCCTAATGACATTGACCGAAATTTCTCAATCAAGGTGAGCTTTACTCTGCCTTTGGCTTTATTATTCATTGTTTTGTGCCTGTTTCTGTTTGTTTCAGTGTTTTTAGCTCTGTTATCGTTTGTGTATAAATACATTTCTCAATTCTTATATAGTGTCTGGTCGTTGTTAGGGAAGCAGGTGCAGTTCATGTACAAACAAAGGTGAAGGCTGTGTACATGTTGGGATACTATCCCCAAAAAAGGTAGGTAAGGGATTTTTCGTTTTGCGTAGAACAAATCCATACAATGTAGTTCTTTTCTGTTTATGATTTAATTTGAGTATATATGGTGCTTAACGAACACACTGTTGATATAGTTAGGTAAAATCACATTCATCTTTATCATATACTTAGCTTGGGTCTGAACAAACTTTATTTTATTATTATTATTTTATAGTAAGGTCAAATCGAGATTAAATACTAAATTGTACCCCGGTGCACCTTATTAGTCGTAAAGTTAGCAAATGATTGAAAGTCTCGCCTTGTGTTGGCCGTTGGCCCCATTCCCATTCAATCCACACAACAAAATTCAATTCAAATCCCACCAATAAACTCCAACACCGTTGGCGGTGGGATTTAGAAAAATTGTGGAAAAATCTTCACAAGTAAATTAATACAAGAATGATTACTTAATTTAATATCCTTGACTCGTGGTATGTTTTTTTATAGATTGATCAATTTACTCAGTTGTTGCGAAGGTGATGAGTGGTTGCTTGTGGCAGAATATATGCCCAATGAAACACTTGTAGAACATCTTTTTCATTGCAAGGCTTACTCCTTATACGTATACGAGGTTTTTGGTTACTATCTATCTTGTATTCATATTTTAATTGTTGGATATCGGATCCACTTGGTCTTATAATTGCCTCTGCTTAATAGTTTTACTTTGTCTCACAGATCATTTAACTTTGGGTTCTCATTCAGAAAGGACATACTAGGATATTAGGCATCACATTTATCTTAGAACTTCCAAGATATAAATGTCTCTCTTCTCAAGGTTCAGTACATCATCTGGCATTTACTTCTCCTGAATATTTTGAGGCCTGGTAAGTACATCATGGAAAAAAAAAGTGGCGTGTTCGAATTTATGATTTACTTGACAAACATCCTTTAAGTATGCAGTTCAGCAAATATTATACACCGCATATCCCATGTATTGCAGGGAGAGTAACACCAGAAAGTGTAATACACAGCCTTGGGCGTGTCCGAATCTGTACTCATATTTTAATTGTTGGATATAAGATCCATTTGGTCTTAAAATTGCCTCTGCTTAATAGTTTCACTTTGTCTCACTGGTCATTTAACTTTGGCTTTTCTTTTGGAAAGGACATACTAGGATATTGGGCATCACATTTATTTTCGAACTTCCAAAATATAAATTACTCTCGTCTGGTATAATTTATCACTTCTTTTCCCTGAATTCCATCGTCACCTAATATTGCTTAAGAGGTGTTGGTGTGGGGATCTACATTGAGACAATGGTTGCAGGGTTTTTACTGCATCCCCCCTTTTGGGTGTTAGAAACATTTGCTGATAATCATTTTTGTTTATAGCACAGGTTCACGTTTGACAACTACGTGGTCTTATTTCAGTTATAGCATCTTCTCGAATTTTGCTAATTATCTTGTCAGTTGCATGGATGTTTCCGCTAATGAGTACTGTGCTAGTGTTATGTGGAATATAACTTTATTACCTTCTTGAATCTTCAATGAATGTGCAGCCTATGAAATGGGTAATTCAATTAAGGGTTGTGTTATATCTTGCACAGGCTCTTGAATACTGCACAAGTAAAGGGCGTGCGCTTTATCAAGACCTTAATGCTTACAGAATTTTGTTCCATCTTTTTGGTATCCTTTTACTAAGTACTTTCTGATTGTATTTGTTTATTTTATATATTATAATTTGCAGGTTGGCAAGCCTAGAATATGCACCTTTGGCCTGATGAAAAATAGTAGGGATGGGGAAGAGTTATGGTACAAATCTGGCATTTACTTCTCTTGAATATTTTGAGGACTGGCGAGTACATCATGGGAAAAAAAACGGCGGTTGAATTTATGATTTACTTGACAAACATCCTTTAAGTATGCAGATCAGCAAACGTTATACACTGCACATCCCTTGTATTGCAAGGAAAGTAACACCAGAAAGTTTAATACACAGCTTTGGGAGACTCTTGATTGATCTTCTCATCAGAAAGCATATTCCTCCTAGCCATGTAAGTGACTGTTCGAGTGGTGAGCAGGGGAAAAAGAAAAACCATTTGTGGGAAAAGATAAATGGGGAAACTCTTATAAGGATCTAACAATTATTTGTGAGGTAAGACGATGAGTCATTAAACTGATTGAATTGTAGCATTTGAAGTATTTGGACCTTTGGGATATTAACTTCATTGGGAGCAAAATTCCATATTTCATTGCTTCTCTTAAGTTCAAGATATCTTAATCTCTCTTATGCTTCTTTTGGTGGTCAACTTCCAAGTCAAGTTGGAAAACTTAACACTGTTGTATATTATGATTTTACAGGTAAATGACATTACGAATGCTGAAAATCACAATTCATGGCTTCCTTGTATTTCTTATTTAACATATTTGGATTTGAGTTGGAGCAATCTCATTAATGGTTATGAATGGCTGGAAGCAACTAATAAACTCCAGATCTTAGGAACTTGGCATTGGCCGAATGCAGTCTTCCTTCTCTGATTACCTTAAATTCTTCTAAATCTCTTGTTCGTGTTGTCCTCTCTGACAACCAATTAACTGGCTTAATTCCCAATGTCATTGGAAACATGAGCTCTCTTGCTTATCTAGATCTCTCTTTTATTTAACTAACCAATTTGAAGAGGGATTTCAGAAAGTCATTTCTGGCGACTCTCCAGATTAAGACGTCTGTTTTTCTCCTCCAACTCACTAGCCTTAAGCTTTGGTTCTAATTGGATTCCTCCTTTCTAATTGCTTTACATAAATTTGAGGAGATTTTGACACCCTTTTGGAAAATACATGTGAATGTTCTCTCCAGGGTTGAAAGATGGTTTTCGTGTTTTTTAGCCTGATCCAAATAACATGAATTACGAGTACAAAACAGGTTTCTAAAACATAAACGGGTCAAACACTCAATGCGGATTTGTGTTGATTGTTGCTAGAGTCTTTGCAGATATTATCAATGTTTTGGAGAGATGAGTCATCGTCGTATTACTAACCACTTGCAGAAAAGTAGCTGGTCCACTCACACATGTTCCATGCTTGACCATTTGAGTCAAGACGACCCAGTGATGTTGATAATTGATCGAGAAAAAGCCACTACTGACTGGTACCTCTGGTGTGAACTCTGTGTTTGCCTTGCCTACAATTGATCCTCCTTTCCCATTGCTTTACTATCTCGGGTGATTCAATTCACACGTTCATTTTTATCACTCACACGTTCCTCTTAATTTTCAGTAGTTGGATCGAATAAATTAAAGAAGAACATAAGACATAAATTAACAAAAGGTGTGGAAGATGTAAACTTGGTTGGGTGAATAGCAACATCCTTTTATCTTCTCACACACTTCTTTTTATTTTTATTTGTCTGATTGAATAAATAAAATAGAGATCAATGACAAAATTAAATAGGTGTGCTTGAAGCTTAGTTTTTTGTAGACTTGGATGCTCTTTAACTCGATTGTTGTGTGTTGAAATCCCGGGCCACTTGTGTGGTGGAAGTCAAGTCACGCGTAAGAATAATACATGTGTCGCTTTTACCTGTTTCTTCCACACGTCTGGACTTGTGGAGTGTTCTGATTGCATTCCTCTTTTCCAGTTGGATTCCATGTATTTCTTCCACACGTCCAGACTCGACATGTATTTCTTCCACACGTCTGGACTTGTGGAGTGTTCTGATTGCATTCCTCCTTTCCAGTTGGATTCCACCTCCTTTCCAGTTGGATTCCATGTATTTCTTCCACTTGTGGAGTTGTAATGATATTGACTGATTGAAACCCATTTCACCCGACTTTCTTTTTCATTACCCAACTTTCTTTTTCATTACCCAACTTTCTTTTTCATACCTTGGCATTGGAGAAGCTAGAAGGTGCAGTAATACGTCAAAGTCAAGTGAACAAGTGGCCACTCGAGTTGTTTGTAAGAGGCAACTTTATATGTGTATATATGTACACTTGTAGTGTTGCAATCTTCTTCCAAATTTCCAATAACATAGCCTAAATACTTTTTCTTCTTCATTGTTGTTGAGATGCGGGGCGAGGGCGAGGGAATTAGGTGCTTCAAACTATTTCATGCTTCAATATTTGCTGTGCTAATTTTGTTACAATGTTGCAACCATTCCCTATCCCTTGATTTCAATAATATTTCTTCTGGAGTAGTTGGCCACTGGGATATTGCTAAGGTGCCCAAGGTGATCAGGTGCATACAGAGAGAAAAGGAAGCACTCCTTGCTTTCAAACGAGACGTCGTGGATTATGACAGTATCGTCTCTTCCTGGGGAAGCGAAGCCCAAAAACAAGAGTGTTGCATATGGGAAGGAGTCTACTGCGACAAATATACCGGCCACGTTGTCAAACTTGATTTATATGAATCTTCTCTTGGTGGTCGATTATCAAGTCAGGTTGGAAACCTTACCCACTTGCAATATCTCGATCTCGGAGGCAATGAGTTTGCTAGTGTTGAAAATCTTAATTCATGGCTCCCTCGCCTTTCATCGTTAACCTATTTGGATCTCAGTTTCAGCAATCTCAGTAATTCTTATGACTGGCTGGAAGCAATTAATATGCTCCCTAAACTTACAAACTTGTCATTGTCTTTTTGTGGTCTTCCTTCTCCTCTTATTCATTCCAGTACTCTTTTTAACATAAATTCTTCGAAATCTCTTGCTCATGTTGACCTCAGTGCCAACCAACTTACTTCTTCAATATTTGTATGGTTGTCAAACTACAATGCCAGCCTTGTTCATCTTGACCTCCCTTACAACCAATTAGTTGGTTCAATTCCCCATGTTTTAGGAAACATGAGCTCTCTTGTTCATCTTGACCTCTCTTACAACCAATTAGTTGGTTCAATTCCCCATGTTTTAGGAAACATGAGCTCTCTTGTTAATCTTGACCTCTCTAAAAACCAATTAGTTGGTTCAATTCCCTATGTTTTAGGAAACTTGAGCTCTCTTGCCATTCTTGATCTCTCTGGCAACCAAATTGAAGGAGGGATTCCGCAATCTTTTTCCAAGTTATGTAATCTGCAAGAATTGGACCTTTCTAACAACACTCTGAGTGGACAGCTTTCCTGGTTGCTTCAAATATCAATGTCTGCATGCCCTCATCAGAACTCATTAGAGGCTTTGGACCTTGGAATGAATGCTCTGGAAGGGGTGGTTTCAGAAAGCCACTTCTCCAATCTCTCCAAATTAACTTATTTGGATTTGTCCTTCAACTCACTAAATTTAAGCTTCAATTCTAATTGGGTTCCTCCCTTCCAATTGGAAACCATAAATTTGGGCTCTTGCACGATGGGTCCACATTTTCCTAAATGGCTTCAAACTCAGAAAAATTATTTATCTCTTGATATTTCAAATACAGGAATTTCTGATATCCTTCCAAGTTGGTTTTGGGACAGGCTGTCTCATGGCGGTTTTTTGACTAGTATGAATCTCTCTCTGATTGATATGGATCTCTCCAACAACCAAATTAGAGGAAAAATTCCAAATTCAAGATTTGAGTTTCCCTCATCTTACCCTCCTCGCATGAATTTGAGTTGGAACCAATTGGAAGGTCCAATCCCTTCATTCCTTTCCAAAGCGTCATCTCTAGATCTCTCCAACAACAAGCTTTCAGAGTTAACTTCTTTCTTGTGTCCAGTCAAGGTTAGTTATTTAGGCTTTCTTGATGTCTCAAGCAATTATTTATATGAAGAACTTCCTGATTGTTGGATGCATTTTGAACGACTAGCCTCTCTAGATTTGAGTTACAATGCTCTCTTTGGGAAAATTCCTGCCACAATGGGCTCTTTATTTTCAATTCAAACACTGAAGATGAACAAGAACGGATTTGTTGGAGAATTGCCTTCATCCTTGAAGAATTGTACAAGGCTCGTGGTCATTGATGTTGGAGAAAATAATTTATCAGGGTTAATACCTGAATGGTTAGGGGTTGGGCTTCCAAATTTGGCTATCCTTATCCTCCGTTCTAATCACTTCTATGGAAGCATTCCGTTGCAGTTGTGTAATCTGAAACACATTCAAATTTTGGATCTCTCAATAAACAATATCTCCGGAAGTATACCCAAATGCTTCAACAATTTGACTAATTTGGCTGAAATAGGAAATTTAAGTCTAACCGTCAGTCATGAGTATGACGTTAACGTCAATGAGCATTTTGTAATCAGTTATGAGAATGACATCGTCCGTAGCAACCTAACCGGTTATTATGATGATGAAGTATCCTTGATATGGAAACGCACAATGTCCAAATACAAAAGTACTCTGGGGCTTGTAAAGAGTATTCATCTATCGAGCAATCGGATAACTGGGGAGATTCCTAATGAAATTACTGATCTTGTTGGGTTGGTTTCTTTAAACCTATCGAGAAACAATTTAACAGGTCAAATAACTCCAGAGATTGGGAAGTTGGCTTCGCTACAATCCCTCGATTTGTCAAGCAACCAAATTTATGGAGGAATTCCACCAAGGCTTCTTCAGATTTATGGTCTTGGTGTCTTGGACTTGTCAAACAACAACCTGTCTGGAAAAATTCCCATGGGGTCTCAGTTCCAAAACTATGAGTCCTCTAGTTTTGATGGGAATCTTCTGCTTTGTGGAATTCCACTTCAACAGTGTCCAGAGGAGCAACCAGAGGAGCATCCAGATGAGTATCCAGATCAAGTTGAAAAGAAGGATGGGTTTATAACAACTGGATTTTATGTGAGTTTAGCGCTTGGATTTGTTGTTGGATTTTGGGGAATTTGTGGGAGTTTGATATTCATCAAGTCATGGAGATACACATACTACAAGTTCTTGAACTATGTATACGATTGGCTTTATGTGAGGGTGGCGTTGATAAGACGACGAAGAATGGTTGATGGATAAACTGTAAGTACTCTTCCACATAACTATAGTGTAATGACATGGCATCATTGCCATCATGATTAATATCAATTTGGCCTCTCTAATTGTCTTTAAATTTGTGACTAATATATGCCATGTTTTTTTCTCAATCTTTTTAGCTTGTGCATCAACCGTTTGCAAGCCATGCTCCCTTTCAGCTGGAAAAGAAGCAGATAGAAGTGCAATTTGAAGTTACAATTTAGGGGCCTTTATGTTTTTGCAATGCGTTATTTTGATCATCTTTGAGGGGGTTAATTAAGTCATTTTCATCCTCCTTTTGTGTGTATTATATATCCTGATTCAATAAATTTCCTTCAAATAGTTCAATCAAGACTTGATCCATTAACAAAAACACAGAATTTACATTTTATGATCTTCCAACTATACCCTGCAGTGCAGTATTCAATTTCAATGTCAAAACAAGTTGAACATCAGCCCAGTATATCTCAAATCACCGATTGCTTGTTTTTTACGGTTTATACCAACTCAAAAGGGCATTCGATAATTATTTTATTTTGAGTTTTTATGCTTGTGATAGAGGAGAAATACATAGAGCATATGAGATAAAAAAGACCAAGAGTTGGAAGGATAATGCAAGGGATGTACAAGAAATGTAGGAGCCAACAAATCATTATCGGAGTTCAAGACTTTTAAGGAGTTGAACCCTTGCACGATGACATGAGTTCAAATCCCGTCAGTGGCTAATCTAACACCTAACTTGCCAAAATCTATCGTTTGACCCAAAAAAATAAAAACAAACAAGACAGAAACAGCAAACAGAGGGAACTAGAAATTCAACAAAGTCGGGTACATTAAACTATTTCAAAGCATGGAACACGCTGGTCAAGGCTAACAAACCGGAAAAACAGAAGAGAACAAAAGAACACAAAAGGAAGCAGAGATTTCATTTCCCTGCTTGCACAAGCTATCCTTGAGAAGTTCAACGGTGGCCAAACCCGAACACCAGCAACTCAGTAAGTATTACAAACCATGTGTTGGGTCTTCTAAATAATAAAATCTGACAATTTTTTTTATAAATATTCTACTATATTCACAAAAAAAAAAAGTAAAAATTATAACAAACAATAAAAAAATGCATAGAGATGGATAATAAATACATAAATATAGGGATAATAGGAAAAGAAAAAAGAAAAAAAAACAAAATGTTCAGGAGAAGTCGTGAAAAACTAAAATTCTAAACAAAATTGAACTTATGTGAAAAACTGAAATTAATAACCAAAATTTTAAGAAAATGTTTGATCAAATTTTCAAAATGAGTGTATGTTTAATCTAAAAAATTAAAAAACAAGGTGCCTATATCAAAACCCCCCTTTTATTTATTTTCAGAAACAATTGTGATAAACAGCAAACCAAATGGTATTTTCTCATATTTTACTAAGACCAACTCAAATGGTTGAAGTTAAAACTTAAATCTTTAGCTTAAAAAATTTAGGTTTTAACTCAAAAATATTTTTTTTTTCTCTAATGATTTTGGCTTAATATTTGAGCCCAAATTATTGAAGAATGAATTTAGACTAAATTTTGGTAACTTTTTTTATAAATAAAATTTATGTGTATTATTCTAATTTATTTTTATAAAAATTTTAACATAAAAATATTTTCATTCTGATAAGTAATGAAAAATCATTAAATATGCTTCAATTTTGGATGAATTTTGATTTAAATAATTTTTTTTGGATTTAATCTTAGATCGCATATTTTATTTTATCGATAGATTTAATTATATTCGACCTTAGCGGTTGGATCTAATGTATTTATAAATTATATTGAATAAAAAAAGTTTGAATTTGTGTTGTTGGATCAACCAGCAACGGATTACAAAATAGTCGTCGGAATGGAATAGTATAAGGTGGCATACAAAGCTGTTAGCATCATGAGAGCCCGCCACTAACTTGGCTTATTTTGTCATTTTTGAGCTAAATCTGCCCAAATTTTAGGTTTTATCACAAACACAAATTGTAGCCCAATTGTTTTGGAGAAGATTGGGGGTGTTTAAAATCTAAAATTATAAGTTTTAACCCGACCATTGAAGTTAGTCTAAATGGTAATTATAAATATTTTTTTCGATGAAAAAAAATACTTATATTAAATAAAGTTACTATGATCACAACCAGTTCTGATAAAATAGGTCTTGAAGGCCACAAATGGTAATTGCCTATCCCAAACATGAAGAATATTAAATTGAATAATTGCATCTGCTAGAAAGTTTGCTTCTCTAAAAACGTGGGCTAACGAGAATAAATCAAAAGAGGTCATCAAACTTTTGATGTCTTCAACAATAATCTTTAAGCGCCAAGGAGCACTACATGATCCTAATGCCTAATCTAGCGTCAATCACTAATTTTTTTATTTATTTTTTATATCTTCGGTTTCCACATTTTCTTCAAAAATCAAATTTCAAGTTATCATTATCTACATTATTTTGGATCCGAGTCACAAATTTAACAATAAATCTTTCACCGGCATTCAAGCCCCAACAAATATGGGTCCAAAATGTTTTGACCATTTATGACAACCGTAGAATGATATTTCAGTCAAGTAGATGGATTACGCCCTTCCATTTCATTTCCTCCTTTTTCCAGTTCCCTATATTTCTGTCTCCTTTAGGTCATAATCTTAAGAAGAAGAAAAAAAAGAGTTCAATAACAATTCATGATTTTGCAATCAATTTACTTCAGAAGACTCAACGCCAATTTATACAATTTGGTTGCTAATATGAGCAATTGATAGGTTGATGAAATGTGGAGTTTCCTCAAAATCCAAGCCAACTAGTATCTCGGGTGAGGGAGTGGGGCAAAGCCTCACACTCGGTTAGCCATAATAATGTGGTTCAAATTTGCCATTAGTGAGAATCGAACCTAAGACTTCTCATTTACAAGTGAAAAAGAATACCACTAGACCATAATATTAAGTGGTCAAAGTATTTCACTTTTAAACACACTTAACAACCTTTAATCGTGATTGTGCTCTCATCATTTTGTCCTTATTAAACACATTTTTTAAAATTTGAGAACTAATAACTTGGAATGAAAATACATTAAGGAT